TATTCAGCACACATAGGAGGCGAGCTATATGCGTGATTTTATTCAATTATGATTATCTGCACGGCGCGCATCCGTTTTCCAACTCAATCAACTGCAATCACCAATCACATTTTTTCCAACCTTTCTTTCTAAACGTGGCGGGTGAGGCGTCGCAATTCATCGGTATGAATAGTTATGATTATTGTTGCATGTATTGGCATATTACAATTTGCGTGAGCGCAATAAATTTTTCTACTTTCGAAACGGCGCAAAAACGTGAAGCCAATTCCGGTCGGCGCATAAGTGCTTATTAAATCGGGCGAAATAATAAAACAAAAAAAAATTCACAAAACGCTCCAGCGGGTCGAATCGGAAGTAATCATTTTGCAATGACTAATCGCGGTTTGAAAGGTGTCAATTCGCGTGTCCCGTGCCATTAATTTATTGCGCCGCCCAGCAAACACATGTGTCACCCCCACATATGAACAGGCCGCTTTGTTTGACTTGAATGCGGCGCTAATTACGATTCGTGCACTATGATGGGCGCCCGTTTATCACCACCGGGGACTTTGCCGCAGCGCAAACGGAGCCGGTTATTTACACTTTATAGGAGAAATAGAGCGGCATTGTTCGGTGCTGCGAATAGTGGGAATGGCGCGACAAAAGGGCTGTGTCTGTAACGAGCGCCAATATTTGTCCTGCCGGTTATTCCAGCCAGATGATGAAGTTGCAAATTCGCTCCGCGGCAGCCGGCGAGGCGGATAAAATAAACCAAGCGACCATTGTCTCATCTCTCCGAACTGCTTCTTCGTCGCAGCCGAATCAAAAGTGAAACGGCGTGTATATCAAAGTTTCGTCTTCTTCGGAGCTGGAGCGACAAGAGCAGAGAAGTCGACTTGAATTCCATTAAAATAAAAGGCGGAAAGTCGATTCGCAGAGTGTCAGGCCTGGAAATTGGTCTCATCTAGCGGAACAGGTCGACGTGGCAAATAATGAAGAGCCTCGAAATTGATTTTCGTCTCGTTTGCAGCAGACGGTAATTTGCTCTTCGAAAGAGGACACCTATATAGACGAGGGTTGGAAAAAAAGAGGACGACGTGGATCAGCCCTTCGCACCGTCGGAAGTGGCACTAATAGGAAAGTTTTAAGTTTGTGATTCTTCAAGCACAAACGAATCTTCTAGGGTAAAATTTATTAAAAAAATCTTTTCAAAACAAATAAAGATAAAAATTAGAAGTAAAAATTAGTAGAAAAGTCCATAATATTGAGCTACAGAGCCTCAAATCAACTTAAAATTTCAATAAGCCAAATATTTCTCAATCAATTTGACGTAATTTGCAAATTAGCATAATAAAATAATTTCTCATTTTTTATTTATGAGTGAATTAAAAAACAAATCAATTAGATTTCCTCCCCCAGAGTGATCTTAATTTATTTATTTATTTAAAGAATAAATCAAACAAGCCCATTGTCCTTGCAACTTTGAGATACCAGAGCGTCTGGGATCGATTTTAGATTTGCCTTGTCCGAAAGTGCTCGCAAATTTCCAGGGCCGGGCGTGCCGAACAGCGCGGCACAGGTATTAGACGGCCCCCGGATACCATCCGTCTGACGATGTGCTCGCTAATGTGACAGCAAACAGACAACAAGTACACAACGTGCCGCTGTAAATTATCGCGATATTGGCACGCCGAAAAAGCAGAGCGGAGGAAACGCCAAATTTAATTAGCAGCGCACGCGTCTGGCAATTATGATTTTTTTCTTCTTCATCGAATTGCGACAGGAAAAAGCGATCAGCACGTGATTGAGGCCGTAGGAAATCTGATTATTTGTGTGTTTATTTATGCCTGGATGTGCGTGATCCCTGAGCGGGATGGAAAAAGAGACGACGGCGTTGAAAAAACACGGGACGGTCCTAAGCGGATTTTTCGGCATCAAATGAGCCCGTAGAAGTGTGATTTGTTATAAGATTTCCGTCAGCAGAGCATAATGTAATAAAAAAGGGTTGACGACAGACCGGCGGTGTAATGATTACAATAAAAATGGCCCGGGCATCACGTCCTGGGCGACAAAAGGCACCGATTTCTCAGCAAAAAGTTTGATTTCGCCCGGGTCGTAAAATAAAAAGCGGGCATTAAAACGGAGGTGCTTTTCGCTGTCAAAGGTCTCATGGGCCACAATGTCACGTAACAAAAGGGTAAAAATAAGAGAAGAAATATGCAGCACTTGGCCGCGATCCAAGTCGGTGCCACTCAAGCGTGAGTATATATTTATTTATTTGCGAGACGAAATTGTTCTCAGCTCATCATGAATAAATTACCCGGCGCAACCTAATTACCCCGCCGGCTAATAATTACTGAATCTTGACCCAATTAAGTCTGGGAGACGTGCGCCCGCTGCAGCTGCTGGTATGTGTGTGGCAGGGTGTGATATTGGCTGCGGCTCGTTCGTTGTGTGTTTCTTTTTCAACGACAATAATAATTCCATCTGGCCGGGCGGGCGACAAGTGCGCGGCGCTAAAAGGAACTTTTCACACTCGGGCTGCACCGCCCAATATGGCCAGTCGTGCGGACTTTTTGCCACCGTGTGGTGCGAGAAATTCATATATAACGCGTGAAAAAAAGAGGGAGAGACGTGCGGCGAAAGAGCCGGATGACAAAAACAGGCAAGTGGAAAGGAGAAGAAGAAGTCCGAGCAACAAATTGTTCATAAATCAAGCGGTCCAGCGTTAATAAATCAATCGGCTGAAGGGCAGACTGCGAAAGACTGGGCGAAAATAGATTTTTTCGTGTGATAAAGTCGCTTAGGAAGCTAATTTATTTTAAAACTTGCAGGTCGCAGATGTGTAAAAGTGGAAATAATAAAAATTCAATGGAGTAACAAAATCTGGAAATATTGCTAGATATTCATTTCCACCTGTCTTGGAAATTTCAACTAAATTTAAAATTAATTATCACAATTTTTGTTCATTAGTAATCTGTTTCAGTGTTAATATATTTTCCAAGCAAAATTCCTCTTGAAAATTTGAATTTAAAAGTGAATATTGGAAACACAACTCAATTAATTACTATAGCTGAGGATTTAATTTCTGTTTGCAACTTTTGAAACAGTATTTCATCGTAAGCTGTCAAAATCCATCAGCAAGTGAAACAGGCGAGGTCGGTTTTAGAAGCGTGGGACCGGCGCGCGAACTTGTGTGTCCTCTTTGCTCAATGTGTTTGACATTTTAATTACACTCTGGCAGCGAATTCAATAAAAGTCGTCACGCACCCGGCTTGCATGCACACACGCCTGGCGAAATAATAACAAAGCTTAATGGTAAGACACGCGGCTACTAAATTACATTAAACCCCGGCTTGTTCTAATTACGAGCAATAAATGTTCGTTCCGAAGCGAACAAAACGAAAGGGAAACCAGGTGGGCAGGAGTAATTATAGTTGGCCGCTTTCTCGGGACGCCGCGTGTCACTTTGCGAGATGACAGGTATGCGCCTAACTAGGTGTCCCCGGGATTATTTTTGGCCCGTCTACTTCTGGCCACCCTTCGAGGTGCGTCTCAAAAGGTGACTGACTGGCTGAAAAGAAGAAGAAAATCTTTTTCGGTAGAGAGAGCGAGCGATTCTCATCCGTCACTCGATTGACAGCGCTAAAACAAGAGGAGGCAACCCTTTTATCTCTGTGATGCTGGGAATGGAATGCGTGTGTGTCACTCGTCGCGGATTATGACTGGTCTTTTGCCGGCGGATCATATTCTGCCGGTTGATTGATCCAAAATCGATAGCTCTCTGTCGGTTGGTTGGTAAAAGGGCGGAAAGTGCACTTCGCGTTCCATCTCTGCTGCTCTTCTTTTCCTTTCCGGCGCCGAGGTTAATAAAGAGGGATGACGCGCGAGATTTGAAGACTTTCAATTACGCGTGAATAATTAACCGGCATAAATTAAAACGGGTTTAGCAAACTGCGGGATTAAGTCTTGCGAGAAAATGAAAAGTGGGCTGTAAAGTCGCGAGATTAGCATGAACCGGGCCTAGCACATGGCTTGTTTTCGGTTGCTTAATTTCGCTTTTAGGGCGCGCAATAACTGATATTTTACGAGTTGGAAAATGTCATAAAGCCGGTCGAGCGCGCACTTTTTCCACTTTCCGCACCTAACGGGCCGTGGAAAGGTCTTGGCCGAGAGCTAAAGGCCAGTATGCACGTGCATTAGCAAATTAATCCTCCCGGGGACCAATTACGTGCAGTCTCCTCTGTTCGCCGGGGCACACATGACTTGGCAGCAAGAGCGACATTCCGCTGACAATGCTAATTCACATGCAGGGTCCCCAGAGTGAAATATGGATGGATGCACGGCCGTCGCGCTCTTTTGTGATGCAGTTCGATAAACCGAACAAGAACAAGGTGCCGCAGCTTGATTGGACTCATTGTAATTTTATCATGACTTGGCCATCTCGACTTTGCCAATTAAGTCACACAGGAGATGGATGGAGAGGCGAAATGAAAAACCTGACTTGAGCACCGCTCGATTTTAGTTCCCAGACCGCCCGCTGGCGTCGCTACCGGCCCAACGTGAATTCATGGCAAGCTGTTCTATAATAAATTTAAGAGGAAGAAGTGCTGCTTTATATTTCCCACTTTGCGGAGCACATAAAATTTTGTCGAGTGCCTATTTCATAAACTTGAGATTCTTCGCAGTTCAGTTAATAATAAATTAACCTATTTCTCATGTTTCACGGATTAAATGAAAACTGTAAATGAAAGGCATTTGTGGATGAGGACAAAAAATGAAAAGCATAAGGAATCAGTGCACCATTCGTTTTGTGTTAATGAAAAATCATTTCAATATCCCCGCTCTCTTGATTATGCAAGCAACGGAGCAGCTTGCTTTTGTGCAGACTTGGAGCACTTTGAATCAATAAATTTTCCAATACGTAGTGAATGCAGAGCTATTTCCACTAGAATTTGCATACAATAACCTATTTCCTACCCGATCAAAAGCTAAACGGCTGAATTGAAATGGCGTCCTACCTGCAAATCGAAATTAGTCATCACGCCGGGGGAGTCCATTGGCTGCTGCTGTTGAGGCGGAGGGGCGATCATGCCGTAGCCACCCTGGTTGGGACCATTGGGGTCGGAGAACAGCTGCTGTTGCTGCTGGACACCCTGGTTTTGGTCAGAGAGCATGCCGTGGTGGTCGAATTGAGAGCCGTCCATGGACTGCATGTGGTGCGGATGATGCATGTTGTGACCTGGGTGAAGGGCTGGGTGCATTGCGTGGTGCATCGCCATTTGTGGGACCACATTGGGATTGGAAGGGACCTGAAAAATAATTTATGTCAATAATCAATTCAGCAAAGAAGATTTTAAAGAATTTGTTTCAAATAAATTGGTTGAATATTTTTATCAAGAAACAAAATATTTTGATATTCCAATTGAAATTAAACTTTAAAATATTGCAAGAAAAAAAAACAATCATAAGAGCTACCATGCAGCTCAAACGGCAGACTATATTAGCCTGATTGTCAGTCAGGTTAGGTTTTTGGAATGCCCTCATTAAAGGACAATACACACAATGAAATAAAATAATTAATTAAATGGAAGGCTCATTGTATTAAAAATTAAATTTATCTTCAAATATTAACAACTTATTGACTTATGAATGTTGCAATAGACAAAAGAATATTTTAGCTTGCATCATTTTTATATTAGAAAATTCAGGTAATGAGTCTAAGGCTTCTTATATTCAGATAAGAAAAATCAGCTTGGCAAGTTGTCTTGTCAGGCAACCTTTGTGCAAGTTCACTTTTTCTCATGTAAAAGAATTAAAAGGAAAAATTATTCCTTGTTATATATATGATCACTGCAGCGGAAGGGGTCTTTTTGATCTCAGAAAGTCCTAGCAAAATTCTTGCTAGTGCTGGTGCCATTTTGTGAAACAATTCCTTTTTTTTTTAAATTCTTCCAACAATTGAATGTAAAAATTTACTGTAAAAATGTGGATAAATAAACAAAAATAATAATGATAATTATAATTGCAGCAAGGTAAATTATGAAAATCTCCATGAATTCGAGCCAATGTATTCTGGCAAACCCATATTTTTGGAGGATACTTACAGGCACAACTACAACATTAGCGGGTAGATGATTGGCAACATGGGGTGGATGGGGTTGCTGGTCTTCGATTTTGACCTGCTTCACTGCGCCTGCTAACTGTTCCTCCGAAGGTGAGGGCTGACGACTTCCAGGTGTTCGACTGCAAACACAAAAGAGAATTACTTCATTGTGACAGAAATAAATAAAATATTGCATGCACTGGTTTAGTTTAAGCCGGTTCCATGATAGACAAAATAAAACTGTCACTGTTTACATAATGTGGATTACTATACCTTTACAATTATTTATAGAATGGTGAGTCAAGTGACTGCTTTCATCATTTGTTTAAAAAAATTACAAAGCAGAGCGAGTGAGAGAATTACGAAAATTTATAACACTGAATTAAAAGCAGCTGTTTTCCTTTTTATAATGATTCAGTCACTTGTTTCAAGGAAAAGATAAAAATAAAATTCAAATATTACAAAGGAAGTTGTTAAAAATTTTAAATGATAATGTACTAAATTAAGTCGGTCTTAATTAAAAAGAAAATAACAAAGGAACATTAACAAAATATATGATTTACAAATAACAATTTATTATTTGTCAAAATTTTCTTAGAATTAGGATTAAAATTGCTTCAATGCAAGTGAGAAATAATAGAGTTGGAAATTCTGTCCCTCTATCGGAGTCGCTGCCAAGCTCGGTTTATACAGCGGCTTTGAAAGATGGCGCGTCGGCACACGCCGGCGTGATGGCATTGACCATGAAGTGCAAGAAAGATGTTTATGGAGAGCATTTGGCAATGAAATTACGTTCATACGATTTAAGTATGCAGGATTGCCGCACCACAAGCGGCAGGCGTTAATCGCCACGGGCTCTAATAAAAAGCAGCTCGCAGAAAGAGCGTCTGGCTCCTCGGAATTGAAGCCAAACAAAAAAGCGCGCGGCTCTAGATAGAAAATTAAAACTCACTTGAATCCCTTGTCGTCGTCCAGTCCGTTCTGTCCGGCCGATTGCTGTCCGTTTTGGCCGTTCTCATTATCCTTTTGTGCAGCCTCGAAAGGCGACGGCGCTTTGTCTCCCTGCTCCTTTTTCCCATCCGACCCGTTCTGCAATGAAAAAACACTTGTTACACTTGGATTGATGAAAATCGCCACAATTAGACCACGAGAAGAGGGTGAGATTGCCAGATCACATATTCCGAGAAAGGAATCATTTTGAAAATCACAGCCTGCACGCGAGAAGAAACAAGTGGGACTGCGGGACGCGCGGCGCAGGAGGGGTAACTAACGGAAGGTCAGGCAGGGAATACAAAGGGTTGCATTTTTGCCAGCCAATCAGGTGGCAAGCCGAGGGTGGGGAGGAAGATCAGGCACAACAACTCCCGAAAAGAGAAAATCGCTCCCCAAGCATGACCAGAGAAGAATAGAGCACAATAGCACCCTATGGGAGTGGTGGCTGGAGGGGAGGTGAGCGCAGGTAGTGGAAAGCGGGTTTTGCTCGAAATTTTTTCCTCTCAATTATCCCCAGCGGCGGGAGGGCAATGGCTCTTAAATTATTTTTTCACTCACAGCTTGAAGCTTGAGCAAATAAAATTTTAACTTTAATGGATAGGCAGGCAGGAAGAGAATTTAATTAAGTAAATTGGCGTCTCACCTTGGCAGTGACAAAATGTTTAAAAAAAAAAAAACAATTTAAATTGAATTAATATTGATTTCTTAAATTGGGGGAAATGTGGCCAAAATTAGATTTTTTATTTTTCCTCACCAGTCCAAGAACTCTTAATCTGGGTTCCAGTTCTTTGCTCGTCGGCGACGATCCTAAAACGTATTCGACCATTTTTACACCTAATCCGCCAGTCTCGGATCTGGGGGACAAAATCGAGGCTGCGTCCGGTCCGGGAAAGCTGCCCGCTCTTCTCGGCGTCATCGAGATTGGTTGAGAAACGGCGTGATCTGCGAAATGGAAGGTCCGTAAATATTTGAGAGCACTGACACAGACACACACAGAGCGTGTTTAAATATTGGCAGTGAGGTAGGTTGGGGTTAGGGAGAGAAATAGCACGAGCGAGAAAATCACTTGTCCAAATAAATAATATTGCGTGGCACATTATCAGGACGGCACGAGGCTGCGTCTCGCGTTTGCTAAACACAAAATCCACGCCTTCAGTTTCTTTCTCAGAATGTAAAAGAGTTATTGAAAGAAAAAATAAAATTATGAAAAATAAACATAGAAGTATTTTGCTAAAAAACATTTTTCTGGTTGAAATAATGAAAAATTTTATTTTTGCAATCGATAACTTCAAACTTGAATTAAATTTCTTCTGTTTGTTTAGCCTAAATAGTTAGTGCATTTGGTTATAGAGGATGCCTAACATCTTAACGAGCAAAAATAACACGTGCTGTTGAAAATTAGCATCTTTTCCCTCTTCTTCTCAAGGCGAATAAATATTAATGTGAGCTAATCTTTTCTTCCATTCTCTACAAACGCGGCACCGTGTTAGAATTTAAATAAGGAAACGACGCCGAAAGAAGTCACCGAAGGACACGCTAGCAGGAAAGAGCCTTAATTTAACATTTGTTGGTTGAGTCACGGGTTTTGTCTCTAAAAGAGAGCGAAAGAGGAAGGCATCATTTTGGAGCTTCTTGACACCACGTGTGTGTGTTTCTGTTCCACGAAGGGGAGCGCTGATAAGTGAAAAATGCTTTTCCAGCCCGTGCTGGCTAATTCGGCGGAAAAGTGGCGCAAACAGATTAAGTGGGCAGCGCAGCATCTGGCGCAGCTATTAATTCGCAGAATGGCTTCATTGCCAAGAAACGGGCGATTTTTCTTGCGTTTGGCAGCGCCGAGTGTAAAAAGTCTGTCTGTGTGTATATTTATGTCTCTCTTTCGGAAGGCAGTCTGCCTTCCAGCCGGCCGGGGGTTGCAGTTTTTGTGTGTCGGAGGGTGGCTGCGCCGGGGGGAAGACGCGTTTCCATGGCAACAGCGAACCTGCCGCAGAGAACTCGGTGTGGCTGAGGCGACGGAGAGAAACACCCGCGCCCCAATTAGCACCTGCACGCACTCGCGACTGGGTCTGCGCAACCAAAACAACGCCGCCGCCGTTCCTCCAGCTGAGGAGGATTTTGACAGAGCGAAACGCAACTTGGACTGAAATAAACCAGACTGGAAGTTTCGTTGGCTGCAGCTCGGCAGAGAGAAAAAAGCTCGCTCCGGCAAAACATCCTCGCTTTAACGACTTTTTGGTCAGCTGTTTTGACTTTTGCTTTCTTTAGTGCCTAATTAAGAGCGACTTTTTGTTTGCTCTGAGCACTTAAACTTGGGGAAAACGCTCCAAGTGGCTCCTTTGATTTTTTAACTGGAGCCCTATTTTGCCTCTTGAAAGAAGAATAACGTGTTTCCTGAATAAATAAAATAATAAAACGGAAGTAGAAAAGGCTTTCTTTGAAGCAGAAATTGAGCTGCAGGAAATAGGTATTTAGATCTGTGAATTTTGCGAAGGAAAGAGAGCATAGGCATTAAATATTCAGTTAATTTAGAATTAAAAAAAATAATAACAATAATAATAAGTAAAAATAAGCAATAAAACCCTTTTGTTATAAATTAAAATTGCAAAAATCTGGGTAGAATACGAGCAAAGCAAGACACTCAGCTTGTGTTGCATAAAATTGAGTTAAAGGTGCTCTTTCATTTAATTTTGAAGCTTATTTTCTAAATATAAAAGCGGTTTGAGCTATGCACCAACTGAATTCTCAAATTTTAATAAAATCAGGTATCTGCGGAAAAAAGAGCGAATAAAATTAAAAAAAAAACTCGGCTTGCACCGCGTTATATCAAGTGTTGAGGCGGCTCCTTCACTTAATTTTAAAGCTTATTTTCTAGATTTTAGGGCGCTTCAAGCAATGCTCTGAGCTCTGACTGAATTCTCAGTTTTTAATAAATTCAAAGATCTGCGGAATAAAAGTGCGAAACAAAAAAACTCAGCTTGCGCGAAGTTAAATCATGTGTTGGGGCGTCTCCTTCACTTAATTTTAAAGCTTATTTTCTAGATTTTAGGGCGCTTCGAGCAATGCTCTGAGCTCTGACTGAATTCTCAGTTTTTAATAAATTCAAAGATCTGCGGAATAAAAGTGCGAAACAAAAAAACTCAGCTTGCGCGAAGTTAAATCATGTGTTGAGGCGTCTCCTTCACTTAATTATAAAGCTTATTTTCTAGATTTTAGGGCGCTTCGAGCAATGCTCTGAGCTCTGACTGAATTCTCAGTTTTTAATAAATTCAAAGATCTGCGGAATAAAAGTGCGAAACAAAAAAACTCAGCTTGCGCGAAGTTAAATCATGCGTTGAGGCGTCTCCTTCACTTAATTATAAAGCTTATTTTCTAGATTTTAGGGCGCTTCCAGCAATGCTCTGAGCTCTGACTGAATTCTCAGTTTTTAATAAATTCAAAGATCTGCGGAATAAAAGTGCGAAACAAAAAACTCAGCTTGCGCGAAGTTAAATCATGTGTTGAGGCGTCTCCTTCACTTAATTATAAAGCTTATTTTTTAGATTTTAGGGCGCTTCAAGCAATGCTCTGAGCTCTGACTGAATTCTCAGTTTTTAATAAATTAAAAGATCTGCGGAATAAAAGTGCGAAACAAAAAAACTCAGCTTGCGCGAAGTTAAATCATGTGTTGAGGCGTCTCCTTCACTTAATTTTAAAGCTCATTTTTTAGATTTTAGGGCGCTTCGAGCAATGCTCTGAGCTCTGACTGAATTCTCAGTTTTTAATAAATTCAAAGATCTGCGGAATAAAAGTGCGAAACAAAAAAACTCAGCTTGCGCGAAGTTAAATCATGTGTTGAGGCGTCACCTTCACTTAATTTTAAAGCTTATTTTCTAGATTTTAGGGCGCTTCGAGCAATGCTCTGAGCTCTGACTGAATTCTCAGTTTTTAATAAATTCAAAGATCTGCGGAAAAAAAGTGCGAAACAAAAAAACTCAGCTTGCGCGAAGTTAAATCATGTGTTGAGGCGTCTCCTTCACTTAATTATAAAGCTTATTTTCTAGATTTTAGGGCGCTTCCAGCAATGCTCTGAGCTCTGACTGAATTCTCAGTTTTTAATAAATTCAAAGATCTGCGGAATAAAAGTGCGAAACAAAAAAACTCAGCTTGCGCGAAGTTAAATCATGTGTTGAGGCGTCACCTTCACTTAATTTTAAAGCTTATTTTCTAGATTTTAGGGCGCTTCGAGCAATGCTCTGAGCTCTGACTGAATTCTCAGTTTTTAATAAATTCAAAGATCTGCGGAATAAAAGTGCGAAACAAAAAAACTCAGCTTGCGCGAAGTTAAATCATGTGTTGAGGCGTCTCCTTCACTTAATTATAAAGCTTATTTTTTAGATTTTAGGGCGCTTCAAGCAATGCTCTGAGCTCTGACTGAATTCTCAGTTTTTAATAAATTCAAAGATCTGCGGAATAAAAGTGCGAAACAAAAAAACTCGGCTTGCGCGAAGTTAAATCATGTGTTGGGGCGTCTCCTTCACTTAATTTTAAAGCTTATTTTCTAGATTTTAGGGCGCTTCGAGCAATGCTCTGGGCTCTGACTGAATTCTCAGTTTTTAATAAATTCAAAGATCTGCGGAAAAAAAGTGCGAAACAAAAAAACTCAGCTTGCGCGAAGTTAAATCATGTGTTGAGGCGTCTCCTTCACTTAATTATAAAGCTTATTTTCTAGATTTTAGGGCGCTTCGAGCAATGCTCTGAGCTCTGACTGAATTCTCAGTTTTTAATAAATTAAAAGATCTGCGGAATAAAAGTGCGAAACAAAAAAACTCAGCTTGCGCGAAGTTAAATCATGTGTTGAGGCGTCTCCTTCACTTAATTATAAAGCTTATTTTTTAGATTTTAGGGCGCTTCAAGCAATGCTCTGAGCTCTGACTGAATTCTCAGTTTTTAATAAATTCAAAGATCTGCGGAATAAAAGTGCGAAACAAAAAAACTCAGCTTGCGCGAAGTTAAATCATGTGTTGAGGCGTCACCTTCACTTAATTTTAAAGCTTATTTTCTAGATTTTAGGGCGCCTCAAGCAATGCTCTGAGCTCTGATTGAATTCTCAGTTTTTAATAAATTCAAAGATCTGCGGAATAAAAGTGCGAAACAAAAAAACTCAGCTTGCGCGAAGTTAAATCATGTGTTGAGGCGTCACCTTCACTTAATTTTAAAGCTTATTTTCTAGATTTTAGGGCGCTTCGAGCAATGCTCTGAGCTCTGACTGAATTCTCAGTTTTTAATAAATTCAAAGATCTGCGGAAAAAAAGTGCGAAACAAAAAAACTCAGCTTGCGCGAAGTTAAATCATGTGTTGAGGCGTCTCCTTCACTTAATTATAAAGCTTATTTTCTAGATTTTAGGGCGCTTCCAGCAATGCTCTGAGCTCTGACTGAATTCTCAGTTTTTAATAAATTCAAAGATCTGCGGAATAAAAGTGCGAAACAAAAAAACTCAGCTTGCGCGAAGTTAAATCATGTGTTGAGGCGTCACCTTCACTTAATTTTAAAGCTTATTTTCTAGATTTTAGGGCGCTTCGAGCAATGCTCTGAGCTCTGACTGAATTCTCAGTTTTTAATAAATTCAAAGATCTGCGGAATAAAAGTGCGAAACAAAAAAACTCAGCTTGCGCGAAGTTAAATCATGTGTTGAGGCGTCTCCTTCACTTAATTATAAAGCTTATTTTTTAGATTTTAGGGCGCTTCAAGCAATGCTCTGAGCTCTGACTGAATTCTCAGTTTTTAATAAATTCAAAGATCTGCGGAATAAAAGTGCGAAACAAAAAAACTCGGCTTGCGCGAAGTTAAATCATGTGTTGGGGCGTCTCCTTCACTTAATTTTAAAGCTTATTTTCTAGATTTTAGGGCGCTTCGAGCAATGCTCTGGGCTCTGACTGAATTCTCAGTTTTTAATAAATTCAAAGAT